CCCAAGGTAATTTATAGATTCAATGCCATCCCCATTAAGCTACCGATGACTTTCTTCACAGAATTGGAAAAAACTACTTTAAAGTTCATATGGAACCAAAAAAGAGCCCGCATTGCCAAGACAATCCTAAGCCAAAAGAACAATGCTGGAGGCATCACGCTACCTGACTTCAAACTATACTACAAGGCTACAGTAACCAAAACACCATAGTACTGGTACCAAAACAGAGATGTAGACCAATGGAACAGAACACAGCCCTCAGAAATAATACCACACATCTCCAACCATCTGATCTTTGACAAACCTGACAAAAACAAGAAATGGGGAAAGGATTCCCTATTTAATAAATGGTGCTGGGAAAACTGGCTAACCATATGTAGAAAGCTGAAACTGGATCCCTTCCTTACAGCTTATACAAAAATTAATTCAAGATGGATTAAAGATTTAAATGTTAGACCTAAAACCAGAAAAATCCTAAAAGAAAACCTAGGCAATATCATTCAGGACATAGGCATGGGCAAGGACTTCACGTCTAAAACACCAAAGCAATGGCAACAAAAGCCAAAATTGACAAATGGGATCTAATTAAACTAAAAAGTTTCTGTACAGCAAAAGAAACTACTATCAGAGTGAACAGGCAACCTACAGAATGGGAGAAAATTTTTGCAATCTACTCATCTGACAAAGGGCTAATATCCAGAATCTACAAAGAACTTAAACAAATTTACAAGAAAAAATCAAACAATCCCATCAAAAAGTGGGCAAAGGATATGAACAGACACTTCTCAAAAGAAGACATTTATGCAGCCAACAGACACATGAAAAAATGCTCATCATCACTGGCCATCAGAGAAATGCAAATCAAAACCACAATGAGATACCATCTCACACCAGTTAGAATGGCGATCATTAAAAAGTCAGGAAGTGACTGGAGTGCTGGAGAGGATGTGGAGAAATAGGAACACTTTTACATTGTTGGTGGGACTGTAAACTAGCTCAACCATTGTGGAAGACAGTGTGGCGATTCCTCAAGGATCTAGAACTAGAAATACCATTTGACCCAGCCATCCCATTACTGGGTATATACCCAAAGGATTATAAATCATGCTGCTATAAAGACATATGCACACGTATGTTTATTGTGGCTATTCACAATAGCAAAGACTTGGAACCAACCCAAATGCCTATCAATGATAGACTGGATTAAGAAAATTGGCACATATACACCATGGAATACTATGCAGCCATCAAAAAGGATGCGTTCATGTCCTCTGTAGGGACATGGATGAAGCTGGAAACCATCATTCTCAGCAAATTATCTCAAGGACAGAAAACCAAGCACTGCATGTTCTCACTCATAGATGAGAATTGAACAACGAGAACACTTGGACACAGGAAGGGGAACATTACACACCGGCGCCTGTTGTGGGGAGGGGGGAGTGGGGAGGGATAGCATTAGGAGACATACCAGATGTAAATAACGAGTTAATGGGTGCAGCACACCATCATGGCACCTGCATACATATGTAACAAACCTGCACGTTGTGCACATGTACCCTAGAACTTAAAGTATAATAATAAAAATTTTAAAAAAAATTTAAAAAGAAAAGTGCTTGTAAATTAATTACAGCAGAATGTTAATTAACAGCTCTAATGCCAAGTACAGGGGTGGCTCCATGACTCATCAGCAGACCCTCCCTGACGAAGCTACCAACTAGAGACAGACTATTACAGTGAGAGTCACTCTAAATGTAAAAAAATAAAGATGTGGGTGGGGCCAAGAGCCATAATCAGTGAAGTAGCTGATTAATCCATGAATCTGCAGGTATATTTAGCTATTCATACAACCAGCATTACCTTATATATGGAAAATGGGGCTATCGAACCATTTAAACCATTTAATATATTTTTTAATTTTAATTTTTATCTTGACAGAGAGAGTTTTGCTCTTGTTGCCCGCAGGCTGGAGTACAGTGGCACGATCTTGGCTCACTGCAACCTCCGCCTCCAGAGTTCAAGTGATTTTCCTGCCTCGGTCTCCCGAGTAGCTGGGATTACAGGCGTGTGCCACCATGCCTGGCTAATTTTGTATTTTTAGTAGAGATGAGGTTTCACCACGTTGGCGAGGCTGGTCTCGAACTCCTGACCTCAACCGATGTGCCTGCCTCAGGCTCCCGAAATTCTGGGATTATAGGTGTGAGCCATCGTGCCTGGCCTAAATCATTTAAAAATAGTCACCAGGGATATGCTTCCCACAAAATAATACCACCCCATTAACATGCTGGCATTTTCCCAAGAGCACTGTGTAAATATACTACATCCCCTTCTAACTCTCTACACCACTTCAATTCACATGTCAGCAGGACATATGTTTCCCAGGTGAAATATTATAAAGAAAAGTAATACTAGGCTTGGGGAATTTCTGTTTCAGGAAGATCTTCAAGGTACCCTGGTGTGGTCACAAGCCTAGGGAGCCTATGACGCAGACAGAAGTTCTCAAGACTCATTCTATTGCTGACAGTTTCATGGAAATCCAGGGCCCAATTCTCCCAGCATGCTGCCTGTTCCCACTCCTTGGGCACGTTCCTGGCCATGTCATGCTCTGACTGACCAGCAACTGTGGCAGGGCTCATTTGCAGTGGCAGCTGTGACTGCCTTTGGAAGCAGGAAAACCTGTCTGGCATTTCCATTCTCTCATATGAAACCTCAAAGCAATGCTAATCAGCACGATGCATTTTCCCTCTTTTTGGAAATGAATAGTGGTAAGTCTTGTAAAATCCCAATACTCTGAATTGCTATCCTGGCTACCACCCCAACATTTAAAGTATGTTAACGATGGAGACATACATGTCAGCAGTCAGATTTTAACATAAAATTAACAGCTGGATATCTCAAAGGCCTAAATTACTATTAATTGTATGCAAACACTAGCTCTAAGGATATCCTTTACAGCAGGAGGTTGTAAGTCACTGTATCAAAGTCTTAAATCAACAGCCATCTAGCTAGCTAATGCTTTCAAGGTGTGCCAGGAGAGAAAGGACAGGATGATCTTCTCTTACTAAAGAGAGATGGATGAACAGCTGCAAGCTTTGCTGTTGTTTTAAAGCATCAGGGAACCAACTACCGAGAATAAGAAATAAAATGTAAGCAGGGTCAGACTTGTTTATTACATATCCTTTCAAAATATCCTTTTGTTTAAAAAAAAAAAAGTTAATTAAAAGTATTGCCCGTGTTCCCTACAGAGAGTACATTTAAAACAATGCAGAGTAGCAAAACCCCTTATGTTCCAAACATAAGGTGTGCCTGTTTTTAAGTCTCAGAATAATTTGCGAACTTCCAATTTAATTATGACTGAACTTCAAGTCAACTGTTGAGTGTTCTAGAGATACGGTTTCTGTAGATTCCAGCTGGTAGCAAGTGGAAAGACTCCAAATACCTTAAAAATATGCCACGGAGTAGAAGGGAGGAGAGTAGTTAAAAAACAAGGAAGAGAAAGAAAGTTGTTCTTTCTGGTTTGACCACTAAAAATATAATTAGATGTATCACTTACTCTGTTTACTTACAGTCTCTCTGCATGTAAGATTTCTTCCAAAACCTGCCCTCTCTTTCTGGAAATCCAAACTAAAATCCACTCTTTGTACAGTACAAGAAAAACAGAGGACTTTAAATTCATTTAAATAAAAGACATCTAGACATCTTGAGATATTCTAATTTTATCACTAGGACCCCATTCAGTTGGAAAAGACATAGCATCATAGTTTTCCTCTCTAAATATATCAGGAATACATGAATGCATTTTAATTAATATGCATAGTATCCTTATTAAAATTCAGATGCTATATTTGAGGAAAGTCCAGAGTGTCAAAGAATCTTGTGTAAACCTGAGGTGACGTTATCCTTTAGAAAGAACAGGGGAGGGAAGCGTTGGAGCAGAGTTCTTGGCTGACCACCCACGTGGGGCCATTGTCAACTTCAAATTTTACTATTCTAATGTTTGTCAACTTTCGTCTTTCCAGTAAACATCTAAGGCAGGTCAGTGAGGAATAGGAAACCACATTACTGGGCTTTTAAATCAGCATGGTCTTTCAAAATCATGCTCATTTACAGGAGAAAACTGTGTGGCATAAAAAGCCACCATGAATTATTCATCAGTTACAGCATGTGCCAACCTCGGATTCCTTTGTACCTCTTAACAAGTGTGTACATGTGAAGTGTAGCAGACCCGGCTCCCCAGTCCTACCAGTCCTGGGTACAAAGGCAAACCTAAGCTCACCGGAGGTCCTGCGAAACAGAGAAGAGTGGCGAGATCGGAAGTGAAGGAGGGAGGCGGCCCAGCTGATCTGCCTTATCTGGAGTTACCCACGAGTCTACTCTCCAGGAACCAAAATAAGTTACACTCTCTTATCTTAAGGGGTCCAGTATCAAAGGAATCAGCAACCGATCGCCACAGTCCCTAGGTTTCAATGGAGCAGCCTGCGAGACTGTGTGGGGCCACCCTCTGTAGCTCTGTTGGACGTGTTGGCTGTCGGTCCCTGGGGATGCTGAGCAGGACCAGCCAGGGAACTCCTGAAGCCAGCCTTACCAAGGAACAAACTCTCCCATCAAACACAACTGAAGGGAAAGCATCCTAGAGATGGCATCCAAACTCAAACAAAATGCCCAGAAATAGGATCACAGGTGTTTGCTCACAGTCACTGAAGATGCCTTTTTATGTGCTCAAAGGACCAACCTACTGTTGGTTGAGTTGAGCTGGGCTCCTGCTACAAAACAGACAAGTCGATTTTAACATCCTATTCCATTAAGAATATCTGTAAATACATTGACAAATAAGATGTGCATTTTATACAGATATACACTATCACAGAAATAGATTGACATTTATGATAATAAGTGTAAAACAATTTTATCAAATGGAAAAGCCCTGCATCTTTTCTCATCTTTAAAGACACGGTCGACCCCAGACGGAATATATGCTGAGTTTACGAAACGGACGGTCTAACCTTTGTAGTCTCCGATGGTGTGATGATGGTCCATGAGCTCAGTCATTTCCAAGGTCATTAACATGCACAAAGCTCCAAGGTTTCAGCTTTTCTTCACTAGGCATCTGGCACACAGAAAGGCTGCAACACTCCTCAAAGGAGAGGCTGGGGCCCTGGCTCTCCTCCCAGGAGTCTGTAGGCTGAACCGGACCCGAGGGAGGGGTGTGCCACCGGTGGGTGTGCCACAGCCAGCGCAGGAAGAATGGGGAGTTTCCTGAGTGAGTCTAGCTCCTTCCTCGTGTACAGAGTCTACATCCCCTTCTTCTCTCGACCCTGCCCCTACCACTTCTAAAGAGACCCCTTGCAAAAGCACATCAGCTCACTGACGCCACACCCGCTGAAAACACTCGTTTCTGGGAAGCCACTATTAGAACACGCCAAGAATGTTCCTAGGATTTTCCTGCACTCTGCACAATCCAGAATCCAGACTTTGGTCGCTATTATTTCACAATCATTGAAATGCATGAAACAAAGAAAGAAAAGGATCGATTTTTCCCAAGCCTTCTGCCTCCTCTTTTTCCTTAATGAATTACTATCTCAACCAGATGGGCTTTTAATTAGTTTCTTCAATACTAGAATTTTTAAAAAATACTATTACTTGGAGAGGCTTCTTTTACGAACAGCCTGATTATTCATTATGGTTTTGGAAACAGTTCCCTGACAAACTCCTGGTATGAGACAAGCTGTGGACTTTGAGCCTTTTTCTATTAGGTATACACACTGTCTGAAAACAATGACCTCATCCGGAAAGACTCAGGAAAGAGGCATATTTTTCCTTTCATCAGTAATGCCCTGATGTTGGGCTGGATTATCCACCACCCACAATCCAACTTTTCTCCCAGTTATTTGTGGAACACCAGGCATTTTGCATATCGGAAAAGTCACAAAGACAGTTTAAATGGAAAAAGACCCTTAGGACAAATATCCTTGGCATCAGATACACATATTGGCTAAGAAATAGGAGGAAACTGGCATAATTGCTTCCAGTGTGAGGGTAAAACATTTAATTCCTCCAATAAAGATATAACCAAGAGCACCCATTGTGAGATATTAATTTAATATAAGGCCTATAATCAATCCACTGAAAAAGAAGACTATTTGAAACACACTGGCCAAATACAAAGTTTGATTAATTGAAGAGTCCCGGCTTACTGTCTTCCCCAGCTAAGTGGCTTTTTTGTTTTGTTTTGAAATGACTGGAGTAGACAGCCATCCTCATGTGTCACCCTATGTGCCCTTTCCCTGGTCCAGGCTACTGCCTGGAACTTGGTGCCTCTGATAACGTCCTCCTGACTTGGCTGTAGCACCAGGCGCCAGACAACGAATCACGACTGGATTGCTCGTTGATAAAATGCTTGCCATTTGCAGAACTGTCATGTGTCAGCTGCTGCCAAAGGCCAGTCGTATCAACTGAAATCTTCTGATTGTGCCTAATGCCTTGCATTCTCATGATAGTGATTCCATATTTTAGCCTAACATGTTTTTTGTTAGTGTCTTGGGATTTTTACCATAAGGATGGAAGTCTTTTATCCTTGCATTTTTTTTTTATTCTTGTTAGCCTTCATTTAAAATGTAATGGAGGCTAGTTTTTCCTACTCCTTTAAATCTCGAAGTATTATTCCTACTTGATATTAAATGAGAGAAGAAACCAAGGGCAGAGCAACAGCTATTTTCAGGGGCTAAAATAGGGTTCTAGTTTAAAAATAACCTGCATTGCATTGGTTCCTTGCCTTTTACAAGGCAGGACAGGGGCAAAGTGGAGGAGTAGGCAATCCAATATTGAAACTTTGATTTTTTTGAACGTTAAGCAATAAAGTGATTATTTCCTAATCATAGTCCTCCAAATTTGACTTGTGTTAGTTGAACCACAGATAATTTGGTTGATGATTTATTATAGTCAAGAAACTGGCCAGGTGTGGTGACTCATGCCTGTAATCCCAGCACTTTGGGAGGCCGAGATGGGAGGATAGCTTGAGCTCTGGAATTTCAGACCAGCCTGGGAAGTATTGCAGGACCTTGTCTTTACTAAAAATTTTTTAAAAATTAGGCAAGCATGGTGGCCTACACCTATAGTCCTATAGACTCCTATATACTCAGGAGGCTGAGGCAGGAGGATTGCTTGAGCCCAGAAGATTGGAGCTGCAGTGAGCCGTGACCACGCCACTGCACTTGATCCTGGATGATGGAGTGAGACCCTGTCTCAAAAAAAAAAACCAAAAACAAAAGAGGTAAAGCCAACTGCTTAGAAACTTGTTTAAAATGCACAATTTTCTTTATCTATTCCTTCCTCTTTTCCTTTCTTCCTTCCTTCTTCTCTCTTTCTTGCTTGCTTGCTTGCTTGCTTTCATAGGTTCTCACTCTGTCACCTAGGTTGGATTGCATTGGCACAATCACAGCTCACTGCAGCTTTGACCTCCTGGGTTCAACTGATTCTCCTGCTTCAGCCTCCCGAGTAGCTGGGACTACAGGCACGTGCCACCACGCCCGGCTAATTTTTTTTTTTTTTTAATAGAGACAGGGTCTCCCTATATTGCCCAGGCTGGTTTCAAACTCCTGGACTCATATAATCCTCTCACCTCTGCCTCCCAAAGTGCTGCGATTTACAGGCATGAGCCACAGTGCCCGGCCTCACACAACCATTTTCTAATTAAATAGCAATGGAGCTTATACCACGTCATTTTGAAATCAGAGACATGGTTGTGTATTCCTTACCTTATCTGATTCAGTCATCTTAGAAACACAGAGCAGAAATCTTTCCCAACCACACTTCTAGAAGCCTTCACAGGAAAGTGACTGTCACTTAGCAAAACAAATACAAACGCTTAAAATTGTATCTTCACCTGTATTTGAGAAATGCTTAATTAAATATTGTTAAACAGTTTTCTTAACCATGGACTTACTAGGTATTAATATGCAGGTGTGCCTGTAACTAAGAGATAAATAAGATAAGAAGCATTTCCTGAATTTATTCAACCAGAGAACCCTCAACCCAGTACAACTCTGAACTTCCCATGAAACAGAGCTTGGAAAACATTTCTCTGAGGAAGGAGAGGGCTAGAAAGGGTTTTAGAGATAATTTCCACCACAGTTTCAAAGATAAGAAGTCTTAAAGCCAGAATAATTTAGGGACTTGCCCAAGGCCCAGCATAGGATGTATAAGGAGGACAATTCTCTTCTGTCTTGCGACATTTTGAATGGCTACAATAGGCCAGCATGCTTGGCTCTGTTTGCAATTAAGGTATGACTGATAGTGATGCTATCATACTCTGGTAACACAGATGCTGCTGTGTTCTTAGGCAAACAGCATACCTTACAACAGATTATGTTAAAAGACCTGGCCTAGGCCTGCTCTGCAATTACAGAATAGGAGACAAACCTTACCACAGTGTAATTTATGACAGGGCTGAGAGTGAAAAATAGCAGGTATCAGTAACAAAACATTCACAGGGCCTTGACCTCATCTTTTAAACTAAGCAGAAGAGACAGAAACTTGAAGCAAATTGAATTCCACATGAAAAATGATTCCACTGGGAAAGATAAAAACTAAATTTCTTAAAAGGTCAGATTCAATAAGGAAGAAGAAACTTCTAGACTTTATCTAGAAAGGCACAGGAAAAAAGTAATGATTTGGCATTTTCCCTGAGCTTGTCCTCCAATTACATTCAATTATAAGCCCAAATCATTGGTCCCAACCCCAGCTCAGCTATACGACTTTGTTGGAGATCAGTTTCCAGAACTATTAGGTTCTGCACACCTACTAAAAGGAGTGTGCAGTTCACCACACATTTAAACAGAAAGCTTAACCTAGAAATGGTCTTTATAGCACACAACTACGTCCTCCGTGCTACTATTCCAATTTCTGCTGGAAATTGGTGGATCCCGTGAAATTATTTTTGTGACTGGAAATGAAAATTCCTGAGCTTTTCTGTTATCAACCCCTATTACATATAGTGACTAAGTGCATTCCACTTCTCATTATTCTTTTTATATGAAAAAACTCATGTAATCAAGAAACTTCTAGACTTTATCTAGAAAGGCACAGGAAAAAAGTAATGATTTGTCATTTTCCCTGAACTTGTACTCCAATGATATTCAACTATAAGCCCAAATCATTGGTCCTATAAACTTCATAAACTGCAATGCTTCGTAAACTGCAAAGAAACGGCCTCATTATTGTTCATAGCTCACATTGACTGAGGGCTCACTCTCCGCAGGCACTGAACAAAGATTCCCCTCATCGATTTCTTATAACCCTCTAGGGCAGGGACCATCATCACCTCCATTTTAAAGATGAAGCAGTTAAAGAAAAGGTGAGAAGTTAAAGAAATTGCCCTAAGTCACTCCGCTAACAAGGAGTATAGTTGGGGTTTGGACATAAGCAGCTAGAATCAGAGACCGTGCCCAGGATGTTAAAACTCTTTTCAAGAATACTAAAACAGCTCAGGATGAACCAGTAATCAGAGAAGATGCCAAAGCCATTTTCATGCCTGAAGTAATGGTAGGGTGATACAAAAGACAAGTTCAGCAATCCAAACATTTAGCGTATACTCAAAGGCTGTTTACGCCTTTTGCAAAACGTCTGAATACTCAAAGACTGTATGTGTGTAGGGAGGGGTGCTTGTTACTGACGTTAGACGAATCATTTTTCTGAGTCACATTCTACTTTCAAGAGATTTTCCTGAATTAATCTCTTTCACAAAGATGGCCGATGGGTAGTCCCTGTCTCTACAGAGGCTGCAGGGAGGGAGGCCATCGTAGCCGGCTGCTTCTCTTACCTCATGGCTACTGTACAGGGCAGTTCACCAAGTTCAGGCAGGAGCTGCCATCCAGCATGTACCAGACCAGGAAGAGGCAGAAGACCCAGCTTCTCGTCCTGGTCCTATCATCAGCTCACCAATGACCCTAGGCAACTCACCTGTCTTCCAAATCTGTAAAATGGGCCAATAATAGCCATCCTATCTACCTTAGAATAAATGAGTTTGACAGAGTTCACCCACAGTTTTTGTTTTTGTTTTTGACAGAATCTCACTCTGTTGCCCAGGCTGGAGTGCAGTGGCTCGATCTTGGCTCACTGCACCCTCTGCCTTGAGGGTTCAAGCAATTCTCATGCCTCAGCTTCCCGAGTAGCTGGGATTACAGGAGTGCACCACCACTCCCAGCTAATTTTTGTATTTTCAGTACAGACGGGGTTTCACCATGTTGGCCAGGCTGGCATTGAACTCCTGGTCTCAAGTGATCCACCCATCTTGGCCTCCCAAAGTGCTGGGATTATAAGTGTGAGCCACTGTGCCTGGCCGTACCTTTTCTGTTACCTCTTTTTCTTTTCCTTTCCTTGCCTCCTTCCTTCCAAATTCTTTTTCTTTTTGATTTTTTTTTCTCTTTATGATCAGTATCTTTCAAAAAAGATTTGAGATGAAATCTCTAGCACACAGAAAACTGAACTCTCTACATTCAATGATCAGCTGGACAGGGAAGAGTAGTGAGTACATGGGAATCCACTTCCTGACTTGATGCTTATCCCAGTCACTGCTTGATGCTGCCCCTTAGCATCTGCCACCAGAACCCCAAAATGGGGCTAATTTTTTATAGTTGTTATGTAGTTTTAATTTCATAATCATAAACTTAACTCAACTATTCAATCCAGCTAGGCATAGGGAACAAGGAAAACAT